CACACACACACACACACACACACACACACACACAAATAAACAAATTAACTAATTTCTTAAAAATTTAAATGAGTTAATTATGTATTTGTGCACTTACAATACTGATGTTAAATAATGAACGTGTAATTAACACGAAGCATTGTGCGTCCAATATGAATCTAACAAGATTTCTTTCAGATTATGTTGCATTATACCAACAATACAAATATAACAATGTTGCTTATATAATATGTTATTCTGACAGGCAATATTTAGAAAATTAACTATACAAAACTATACTAACAAATTTACAATATTGCATTTGGTAAAAAAGTGTGTTTACTCTTTTTTTCATTTCACTTTAACATCAATCTTTCCGCAGCACATATATGGGTTCAACATCGAAAAATGCTAGCGTCAAGCTTTAATACAAATATATTACGAGCATCTTGCGATATATTTGTGAAACATGTTTCAATATTTATGGGGAAAATAGAACATATGTTAAATGACGAAATAGATTTATTACATTATACAGCAAAGTGTACGCTGGATATGATTTTCGGTAAGATGCTAATTCGATTTTGACTTGTTAGGAAATTATCTGTTTGTGTTATAAACTCTTAATTACAAATGTACAAACCAGTACCCGGAATTATTTCCACATTTCAGACAGATGTTAGAGGCAACACCTACTACTCCCCCCGCAGCCGCTCCCCGCTCGACGGCTAGGCTGCCGGTCGTGTGTGAGATGCTCGGTCTCAAGATCGTATCATCGATCTGTTAAATTATTATCAAAATATTTTTCTTCCCCAATAATTTCTATTTTTATAAATAAATACATTTTTTATTTGTAACTATATATCCATTGAGCGTTAAAGTTCTCATGTGAGGTTACAGAAATTTAAACATTGATATCTTAAAAACAGTGTATTTGTTAATAATGAGAGTGCTCTGCTTCGATATTATCTTGCAACTGGAATTATCTGGAGAATGAACAGCAAACTAATATTTTATGATATAAAATTTTGTGTCTTCCTGCCGAGCCAACATATATTTCATCATCTTCATAGTGGAATAGACCAACCGGGGAAACCACTTAAAAAAACACATCAATAATAGTACCTTATGTGGAAATCTATTGTTAAAATTTTTATATTTAGACTTTTTATTATTGTTACCATCGTATTATTTTGAACCCATACATACATACATACATACATACATACATACATACATATATATACACACACACACACACATTCAATGCTGCATATCCTGATCGCAATTTTATTTCTAAATTCACCGTTCAGAAGACAGTGAAACGTTTTTACGAAACAGAAACAGTTAAAGACCAAAATCCTTTTAAGCCTCACAACTCTAAATATGCCTAATAAAAAAATACTTTATTATAGGTTTTTGGAAA